CAGACGTCAGCACGCGACGGCGGGCGGGGAGATGCACTCGCCTCTCGGTGCGCAGCTCGAGCAGGTCGGCTGCGGCCTCGGCGAGGATGGCCTCGCGCCCCGCGCGCACGTCGTCTCGCACGCCTTCGAAGCGTCTGGCGATCTTCTGCATGACGGCCTGCGCGAGATCGTGAGTGAGATGGCCCGTCAGCCGTGTCGCGGTTCTCTACCTCTTGCAGATCTTGGAGGACATCGACGATCTCTTGCACGCCGACGGCCTTGTCCTTCGTATCGTATTTATTCGTTCGACCGCTGTCGGCGGTCATGAATACCGTGTCGCTGGGCAGCTTTTTGATCGGAGTGGGCTTCTTGAGGATCGGGCTCCGCGGAGCTAATGCAAGCACGACTGAGGCTCTGAATACCACACCAGCACGAGCAGCCTCGTACCTGGGACTTTATTCGCCTCCGGCGCGATATCTTCCCTGGCATCCATGCTCATGCGCACATCGACAGGTTTGCGGGGCGACCGCCGCTCCGGGACCTCTGGTGCGAAAGTAACGGTATGCTTCGCACGCGAGGCCTTGCTTGCACTTGACGACGGGTGAACGGGCGGTAGCGGAGGCTTCCGGTACGGTGTGGATGTCTCAAAGTCTTCCTTGGTGGCTTTGCTGAAGGCGAAGCCGTGGTCGAGCTCCTCTTGCAGCGACTTCACAGCCGAGCGGGGAGGCTTCTGTTTGACGGGTGAATCGTCTTTCGTCACAGGCCCCGTTCAGGCACCCCGTCTGCGATCCACACTGCGGGCATCTTCAAGAAGGCGGAGCTCCTCGAGCTTTTGGGCGTGATGGACACAGATCTGCGTGAAGCGCTGCCTTTGGACAATGATAAACATATTTTGTGGGCTGTGATGGTGAGAGACTGAGAGTGAGATTTAGAGCGAGATGGAGGCCGAGATGTGGAGATCGAGGGGCAACAGATCAATGCGGAGATGGATTGCTGGGATGGGGTCCGCCGCATTCGCTGTGGACGGCTGACGCGCGATGGCGCACGATCGCGTGATCGAGATCTCTGGCGGCTTGTTGTGCCGTGCCTTGACGCCGGGTGCGAATGCGTGCCAGGTGAGTTGCGAGAGCTGACCACGTGAAGCTGAAGAGAACTGACCGGATGAAAATCGAGAGATAGGGCTGGTGAAAGGGCATAGAGCACAGTGAGGGAAAGGACATAGAGTGCAGAGGGAAAGGACATAGAGCACGGCGAGGGGGAGAGCGCAGTGCAAGGACATAAAGCGCAGTGAGAGCGCAGTGCAGGGGAATACAGCGCGGCAGCTACCACAAAATATATTGCTAAGTTACAGTCTTGTCCACTAATGCTCCCGCTCCCCTGCCCGTTGCTTTCTCCATGCCCGCCGTCATCCCGCCACCAGCAGACGCCATCTTGCACGCACGAGCCTCTGCCCAGTCACCACACTTCGCGCCAAGTTGCTGGTGCATCGCGCACAAGCATGCGCTGTCCCCGGTCACCACGCTCTACGCCAAATCGCTGTCGCATCGCGCGACGGGGCAAGGGCGCAGACCACCAAAACCAGTGCCGACCGGGAGCACAGCGCGGCGCGTGCGCGTTCACCCTTGCGCCAGCAAAACCGGTCAGCATTTTGTGCGTGACCGCTCCCTACCATGTCCGGACGCCCACATGCCGCGCCCGGTCAGCTCGCCACCTCGAACCGTCTCAGTGCGACCCCGCGCTCCCAACGGCATAATACGTCTTGCGTCCGCATTCCGCTCCCAGGCAGCCAACCTGACTCGTGCGCCGCGCGTGATCTGCGTGAGCGACGCTTTGTTCGTTGCCGCTGCCGCCGCTTGATGGTCAGTACAACCAAAAAAAGGTAAGCCCTGAGCTTACTGTTGCCATAAGACATCCCACGTCTGACGCAGCCCACAGTGTAGCCGCGCTGTCATTCAACTCCAATATCTCCCTCGCAACCTCGCAGTGTGTCTCATCACCATCCCCGCTCTCATATTCTCAGATGATGGAAGTAGCAGCTGATTGCAGGAATCATAGCAAGGTCCCGTTAGTAACAGGGAATATGAGACAATGATGGCCACGAGTATACTTACCTAGAAGCCAGAGACATCACTGTCAACATTGTTTGGAGCGCGAGGAATGAACACTGGACCTAAAATTGCAAAGTGACAATAAGGGAAGTGGTGGGAGACTCGTCAGAATAAATTCACACTTCACTTATATATGGTTTTGGTCAGGCAGTGCGGGTGGAACCTCTGATGTGATGGGCCCAGACTAAAACGTATCAATCTAGCAACATCAGAAATAGATGGTTGCATCCCGTATCGTGGGAGTGTGAGAACAAGGGACAATCCTCGTTGTTACTGTATTGTGCCCTCTGAGATTTTTGCTTGCCAAAATCTCCTTCCGTTGAGCCTCTGCCTTCTCGACCGGCGCGCAAATGCCGGCTTACGCCTCAGCAGGTGCGCAACCTCACCATACTTGTACGCTGGTTTGCTCCCGTTGTTCTGTTCACGTCGCGTCAGCTGATCCTCGCAGCATCAGGTCTGCCCGTCACAAGAATCAAGAACCTGCGGCCCACCTTGTTTGCAAAGGACACAGACAGGACAGCCATTCAGAGATAGAATTTGTATCTCCAGGTATGTCATGTTGTGTGGTCTTGGTCACCGACACATGGAGTGCTGACGATGTTGCCGTCTTCTAGCCTTGTGCACGAGACAGTCCAGGGTGGGCGCACATGATGCCGCGAGCGCGCATCAGGTTCTACATGCAGCTGGTACACCATCTCGTTGCGCTCATGCTGGTTTCTCTTGCTGATTTGTTTCCGCGGCCAGTGTGTTCGCAATCGGACACGAAGCTCAAGGGTACGCGATGCTGCCGCATCAGCGTCCTCCCCGGTATGCTGCCCGCTGACCTTTGTATGCCGGCCGTCCGGTCAACAATTTCCAGGTGCACCGATGTGTTCTATAGGGCCGCTTCTCGTGGGGCTGTTGAGTGGGGGCATAACAGCAATGTGATTGCACAATTGTATTTACGACATGTATTACTCAGGCTTTCCCATGTAGGCTGAGACCACAGGTGTCCGGTGGGGCGGGAGCCGGGTGCAGAGGCGAGCGCGCAAGGCGACGGTGTGGAGAGCAATGCGCGACCAAGGATGCATGCGTGAGGGCTCCCGCTTGGACAGAACTGCCGCATGCCCGTGGCGGTATAATGGCTTGGTGCGAGCGCAGAGGACATGCTCAGAGACGTCGTCAGACCGTGCCCACATGCTGAATCGCCGGCGACCAGCACATGCGTGCACGTTGCACGTACCGCAGAGCACAACGACCAAGCTGCGCGCGGCCCGTGCCATCCGTCTCCAGCAACGGGTCAGTGTGCATGCGCATTTGCAGATGTCCGTGCGTGAGCCACCCGGCATGCGGGTGCAGTGGGTGCCATCTTGCGCCACAGCAGGTGTGATCTTGCGCGCGTCGGGTCATGCTCGTGTGCTGACTGGCTACTGTTCCTCTGCCTGCACCCGCGTCTTGTCATATTGACCAGCCGTCCCACTTTCACAGGCAGCGCGCAGGTCGGGTCCGCACCGCACTTTGTGTTTTGTGCGTGCGCGCCCGGTATGCCATCTCGGCGTGTGAGTAATGGGCTGTGACGTGTGTGCTAGCGAGGACACGAGGATCGTGTGTGAGGTCAGCGATGCGCTACGGTCAACAACGCGAGACCAACGGCGGGGCACAGTAGCAGAGGGGTGGCTGAGGCGGGCAGAGCGTCTGTTGAGGACCGGGAGCGAGCGGGCGGGGCGGAAGCGGCGGGCTGTGGAGAGACGGCGTGAAGAGACAGCGTGAAGAAGAGGGGGGCGTGACGATGAGCGATGCAAGAAATGAATAATGTGTTTACCTTGCTTGTCAGAGTGTCTCCCTGAGAGCTGTTGAAGGAGCGCGCCGAGTGCGCATCCCGGGCAGTCACGTCGTGCGGCGGCCAACGTCGTAGGTGTTTCCTAGGCCGGACGTCCGGTCATTCTCGCCATCAACAACCGGCGATGGTAGATAGTGGTGGACGTCACCCGTAGCGAGGGAGCGCACTTGGCGGGAGAGCATGGAGACGAGGATGGACGAATGATCCGAGTCGCGCGCGTGCCGGCATGCATTTGCAGCGCGCACTGAGATGCTGCCGAGATGGGCTGGCGGCACGATCAGTAGGATGCGAGAGCGTGCGCGCATCGACGATGCAGACACTGACCGGGCTGTGGAGCATGAAACACTGCTCAGGTGGAGAGCGCACGACCATGGGGGCGACCGGAGCGAATCAAAATGTCATTGGTGGGGGAGTGACGGGAGCCGGCATTGGTGCATGCACCTGGCATCGAGATGGCTCGTACTGCTCGCTCAATCAGTCATTTTGCTGCTGCTGGTCTATGCGTTGTCCTTCGTTGTGCGCCACCTCGAGCTGCCATTCCATGGGTGTCCGCTCAATGCGTTAAATTTCTGTGCGACCCAACATTCCATCATCTCTAAGCACAGCGCAGCCCGTTGGTACTGATACACGAACGCGCCACACCCGTCGCTATCCCGTACTCTCCATATGTTCACATCTGAACCTGTGGGCTCATCGTAATGCCTGCCGTGACCGGGGTAGCGCGCCGTCGGGCCCCGCCTCCTCATGTCTTCACATAGACGTCTGTCCCCGCACCGAGCGCGGGTCCTTCTCCGGCTCTCTGGCAACCTAGAACACCTCAACGTCAGTTCTGCGTATCGCGGTCACCATCCATCCGGCGAGCTGCATGCCCGCGATGTCCAGACGCAGCAATCCAAACGAGGGCGGAGGCGGCCTGTCCTTGCGCGCGCGCGCGTGCAAGACTGTCGCCCGTGGTGTGATCCCACTTCTAGATGCTGTCGCGATTCCCGCTGCTGATATCCGTGCGCCCGAGCACGCCTGTCTGTGCACGTCGCGACGTGCAGTCCGCGCGCTGTCCTCCGTGGCTCATGCTCGACGTCCGTGTGCAATGCCTCTCTCGTGCACGGAGGAGTACGCCCCCTGTATTTCTTCTCAACGACATCCGTGCATGTCCGCCATGGTGCCGCCCTACCATAACCGGGGTTGCGCGCCGTCTGACCATGTCATCAGCTGTCCCCATGTCGACCACAACCAACGCGTCTGCCGCCTAAGGTGATTCCGGTGCGCCCCTGGTGCAATATCGCTTCCCGCAGGTGATTCGACACGCGCTGCTGATAGCCGTGGCACCGTCTTGCTCGCACGCGTGCGGATTCGCGGGCTGTGTGCCAGTATCGTAGAGGGCGAGGGCGAGCTTGCAAGCTCGCACGCCACCTATCGCGCAGACTGGCCAACCGTTGGGATCACCTGCTGACATTGCACGCGCGGGCGGGCATGGCGACCGGTAGCAGCACACGCGAATGTCGTAGTGGGCTTCGAATGTTTTTTCTCCCGGGAGCGGCCCCGGCCTCGCGGGCAGGTCGCTGGGGGGACCGTCCACTTTGCACATGCGAAACGCACGCCATTTGCGGCCGGTGGATCCTCCTCGCTGCGATACGCCGTCGCAGCACACGGCAAGCTCTGGCGGGCACCCCAGCCGAGATGTGCGTGCGCGCGCGGCTCACATTTACCACGGGGTCTCGACTCCCCCCCCCCCCCGCCGATAGCCGTGCGCGCTCTCGCTCGCCCGCACGCGTGCATACCCGCCGCAGCTGGGCAGGGCATGTTGTGCCCTTCCGGCGGAGGCCGCACGCCCGCGCCGACCGGGATCGCGCAGGATGAGGACCAGTCTGCGCGCACACCTGGTGCAGGACAGACGGCGCAGACGGCACAACGTGCGGGGTGTGCGCCCCGCTGCGCAGACCGCATCGTGCCGCAGCCGCGCGCGGGACAGGGCCGTGTGTGGACGCTCGGGCGTGCGGCGCCCGGGCTAGCGGGCAGAATCGTTTGCTGACACTTGGCGGGGGGGATGGCGCAGGCACGGCATCCCGTCGGCGGACGCACGAGTCACATCCTGCGCGTTGGGCGGCGCCGGCGTGTGTGCTGTGTGCTGCCCGAGCTCTGCGGGCGGGTGGCTAGGCGCATCGCGCGCGCAAAACACGGTGGCGGATTCGGAATGCACGTCCCATTCGGTGGTGGAAGGCGTCGCGGCGACGCGCGAGAAGCCTGGGCGAGCGCTCCGGCGGAGATGCGCGTAGCTCGGGCGTGGGTGTTGCGGGAGGATAGGCGAGTGGGTGCGTTAGCTACGCGACGGGGATGGGCGCCGTGACACGGAGAAGGGAGCATCTGTGCGTGGGTTCGCAATGCGGGAAGGAAGGATATAAAGGGGCTGGAGATGGATGGAGGGTCGTGATCTCCTGGCCGTGAATTCGCCGCTATTGACTGGTATGTGCGTCGAGGGTGTCTGGCCACGGGACCTACGCGTGCTGTGTGTACTGACGTTCATATGTTGCAGGTATGTGGGCCGACGTTGGAGGGCTGTGAAGAGCCACGACGGTGAGCGCGGCCGCAGGTTGGTATGGTCGACGCTGTGCTGACGGTGTGATTGGGTTGGAAGATTGCGGATGTGGGCACGGGCGCAGGTATCGTGGACAGAGTGCTGCAGGAACAGAGGTTTACACGGCGGCGAGTGTTGCGTAGAGGTACCGCCCGTCTGCGTCGGATTCTGTTTGTTATGCCGATGCGCGTGTAAGCAAGCAGCTAAATTGTATATTAACATGCTTACGGGGTGCAGATGCGTGCGCGCGTGCGGGCTGCAGGTCCTGGGCTTGTAGGGCTGAGACAGGGCTGCAGTATGAGGGCAGAAGATGCTGCCGCAATGTGCACAAGAAGTGCAGGCCGGCCCCCTGACCGATACGCGTGGGCGGCGTGTGTGCAACTGCAGCAGCAGCGTGAGTGAACGACGGGCTCGCGGGCCTTGACAAGATGCGGGCGGGCACACCTTGAGCTGACGGCGAGGGCGGCCGAGGGGATGGATGCAGCGCACGAAGGGAAAAACATACCGGTGCACATCTCCCAGGAGCGCTCTGTCGACGATCCTGAGTGGCAGACTTGAGACTTGAGGCGGCCCTGGATGGCGCCGTGGTGCCGGAACGTCTGGCACGGCGTGATCTTGAAAGTCCCGCTGTCGTGGTCATCCCCGACCGGGTCTCATCAGGAGCCACTGCTCGGGCTTGCACGCGCCGTCCGGCATGCGCGGGCCTGACGCCCTGCGCAACACGCTCGTCCCGGATGTAGTAGTGCGCGTCCTGCACGCGCGGGCCAGTAATGGCTGTCACCCAGACCAAACGCGCTGCACTCGACACCCTCCAGCAGCCGCACGCCCCAGCTGCGGCGACGCTTGTCACGCACACAACCCACTCCTCCTTTGCAACGTCCGCGGTCGTCGCGCGCGCCGCGGGGCACTTCGCCATGTTCTCAGTCCGCCCGCCGTCCATTGCGTACGGCACTGTCACCGGACAGCGCACCATCAGGCAAACATTACAGCATCCCATTGACCGCTGACTGCGTGTGCTCACATAGCGCGCACGGCGCCCGGTTGCCCGGTGTACGTACGTATGCTACCGCCTCGCTTGCGCTACACTCTCGTCTGGTGCAACCGGTCTCCTCCCTGCACACCTTGGTGAGCCATGCCGCTCCTGACATTCATGTGCTATCTACTGACCTCCCGCTCTGTTTGATTGCTACTGCGAGCGAGTCTTGGTCGACAGCAGTAGCTACTGAAAGATGTCTTGCGCGCACAGCGGGAGGGTGGCGATGCCGGAGTTGGACCGCGTGCGGGCGCGCAAAGCGACGCAGGCTGCCGTGTGCGCGTCAGATCGTTCAGCTAGGCACCGAGTGATGCAAACATGCACATTTGCGACCGGGGGTGTAAGTGCGCAACGCCGCCATCCGTCTGAGAGATGCACGCAACATATCAAATGAACGAACACATACAACGCAGGACCCAGCGCAAACGTCTTTGTGAAGCCAAGGGCACACATAAGGCCCCGGCCGTCGAGTGGGTAGGCCCATCCCGCATCTCGCACGCGCGGTCTCGTAACGACGCGTTCGCGCGTGATTACGCGAGAGCGGGGAGAGGGAGCTCACCTCGGCTGTTCGACAGAGCACAGCGCGGGCACAAGAGGATGCCGCGGGATTAGCTCACAGCCGGCACGGCTGGCATCAGTGTGTCCCCTTTGCATTCATTCTGCTCATCTGTCCGCGCCCCTGCACATCATCCTCGCGCTGTCCCTTGCGCCCGCGCTTCTACCACGGTAAGCTCTGCATTGCATCCTCGTTTCGAGCATCCCACTAACCGCTGACCGCGCATCCCCACACAGCGCGGCGTCAGGCAAAAATGACCGCTCACATTCGGGCCTGGGGACGCGGGGAGTGGCCGTCATGGTTTCGGGACGCGTAGTTACCATCTAGCGACGCGGTAACCTATGCGAGATGTCCGGGCGGCAGTCGTGAGAACGGCGACAGGGGAGAGCGTGCGAGGAATTAAAAGCGGGTGTCGTCAGAAATGCCTGCATCATTTATGACTCGTCGTCCGCTCTGCTGTCATTTGCACTGTGCCCCGGCCGCTGTCTCGCTCGCCCGTCCCGGCCATATCGTGTTGGGTGCCTGGATGCTGGCCCGGTAAGTCGCCGTCGTGGTTTATAACACTGCACTACGCCACTCACCGTGCACGCCATGACAGGTGCGCCGCACACCACTCCCTTGCGCAGTGTGCATCAACCGATCGCGCAGGACGGTCCAGGTGACGGCTGGTGCAGGAGCGCGAGGGACCACTGCGGCAGTTGGGCAGACTGAATGAGGCGCGCAGTCGGCGGTAGCCCGCTGAGATTCCATGGTGCGCGGTTGCGTGCAAACTGACGGCCGGCCGGCCGAGCGTCGCGTCCTGCGTCCGTGTCGACCGGTGAGTGGTGGGCATTGATGTCTGGATGGAGAGGCTGACCACCGCGATGTGCAGTCTGCAGGCGTTTGCGTCTCGCCGTCTGCACGTCCCGGCGAACGCGCTTGGTCAAGTCGTCGCAGCGCCTGGTCAAGTCGTCGCGCTGCGACGATGCGGACGACGCGCCGCGGAGGGAGGACGGCCGCAAGGTGGGCGCGGGGCGTGCGGAACATGGGCGGGTGATGCGGGATGGCTGGTGGCTAGACAGCGGGGGGTGTAAAGACTGTCTGAGCAAGATATACATGTACATATTGACTGTCCGACTGTACATCGACCGTCTGCCGCGCACGGACGCCTGCGGCCGGGAGCGCACGCCTCTACCGCAGCCGCCTCCGCCCCGTCGACTTGCGCGTTGGGCACGGCTGACGACTTGCGCGGCGCCCATCTGAGTGTGATGGCGGCAGGAAGTCCAGCTCCGGCCTTTGAGCAAGAGCAAGACAGCAGCGGCGACCGACGTCTGCGCGACGGGCCAGGCAGACCCGCGCTCAAACAGAGCCCGCGAACGGGTGTGCAGTGGCGCTGGGTGGGGAGGTGGAGAAACGCGGCGGAGGAGGTGGAACGGACGCACAAATTCTGGTCGCGACGCGTTTGGCTGAATGGAGCGCGGTGTGCGGCGCGTGGACAGACAGACCACGGGCCTGAGGCGGGCGTGCACAGAGACGGTCGTCGCACGGGCGGGAGAAGAATGTGCGCGGGCGATGGATCCCGGCAGTCGGGAGTCAGCTGCGTGACTGTCCGCGACCAGGGGCCGATACGGCGGTACGGACAGATCGCGCATTTGTCGCGCGTTCACTTGAGGCACAACGCGTGCACGGTCGGCACTGTGCACGCGTCCGCGCAGGCAGGATTCTAGTGTTGTGCCCTTCCGGCGGAGGCCGCACGCCCGCGCCGACCGGGATCGCGCAGGATGAGGATCAGTCTGCGCGCACACCCGGCGCAGGACAGACGGCGCAGACGGCACGACGTGCGGGGTGTGCGCCCCGCTGCGCAGACCGCGTCGTGCCGCAGCCGCGCGCGGGACAGGGCCGTGTGTGGACGCTCGGGCGTGCGGCGCCCGGGCAGAATCGTTTGCTGACACTTTGCGGGGGGGATGGCGCGCAGGCAACGTGCAGGCACGGCGTCCCGTCGGCGGACGCACGAGTCACATCCTGCGCGTTGGAGAGACTCCGGACGCCGCGCCAGCGTGTGTGCTGTCCGGAATGGATAGGAGATGAGATGGGAGGAACGTACGCCCGAGTTGAAGCGGCACATGTTGCGGTAGCTGCAGGAGAGGTGAGGACGAAGAGGGGCCGATAGGACGGGTGCGCTCACGAGAGGCTGCCTGGCAGGGAGATGCTCAGCGTGGGTGAAGAAAGCGGGCAATGAGAGAGGGCACGCACCACCGTAGATGATCCCGTCCTTTTCCATCTTTTCGCGGCCTGCACGCGCGCGGTCCTCGTCTATGGAAGCGGGCTGGACCCAGTGCTCGCGGGGGACGCGGCCGAAGGAGACGGGGCCGGAGACGACATTTGAGATGCGCCTGCGGAGAGAGGGGTCAGCGGCAGCGCACGCGAGACCGGGGGATAGCGCGCGACGCGACGCACGTCTTGAAGTCGTCGGAAAACTCGTCGTCATTGAGGAAGACCCAGGGATAGTTGAAGCGCTGGTTGAACGACTGCTCCAGCTCGCGCACAGACCGGACGGCCGACTCCGTGTCCGCGTTGCGCGCGAGCATGAGCAGGGTCGCGTTGGCGCGGACGGACGCGTTGGCGGGCGGCGCGGGGTGCAAGTAGTCGGTGAGCACGGCCGGCGGGGGAGGCGTTCCCCAGCCGGTGAGACGGGAGACGTGAGGTGA